TAGCAGCCATGTGACTACTTACTCCAGTTATTTTACAGGTCTGTGTTGGATAATTTCCACGCCGCCATGAATGCTGTCAGTGATCCTGACATTGCTGCTGTCGCCGAAACTCTTCAGCTCGCTCAGGACGCCATTTTGAGCGACTCCAAGCAATTGGCTGGGCAGCTTGTAGCGAGGCTTTACGAGGTACGCGCTATTAAGACGACGTCCAGGGCAAACTGTAGATCAGTCTTCATTGTAGTTCAAACACAACTGACATAGTTTTGCACTTCGTAAATGTTTCTGAAGAGTTTGCTTTCAATCGTTATTTTTTATTCGAAAAGTTGCTTATATTCACATAAAACGTTTGCTCTTAGAGTTATTTTGAAACAGAGATGAAGTGAAATCCCTTTCAAATGACATCACGAAAGGCCTATATAGTCTTATTCCGACTCTGTCGGCTCTGTTCTGATTCATTTTGTTGCAACTGAACACCATTTTTCAGTGGTCAGTTTCTATTTGCTTTTTGTTATTTATCTCAGGCATTTCGTTCGTATTTATATGAAGTTGTCGCAAAGCGCGATTCTGCTGCAAAATTTTACTTGCCAAGTGTTTAGTGATTCTCTCTCTTTTTTAATTTTTGTGCGACTCTTTTTTTCATTTTGTTGTCTCAACTGTAATTTCTTTGTTGCAGTGTAAAGTGCAGGACTCTTTTCACTGCATTACCACTAATTTATCTCCGGTAAGTCAGTGCAGTGTCTCTTTGGCTATTTAACCCTGCCATCCTTCAATGTGAAATCGTTCCACATGCAAGTTCTCCAAACAATGTGGCCGAGAATTTGGTTATCTGTGAACAACATTTTGTATTTGGTGAGCAAATTGACTCGATCTTGAGTATGAAATTACGAAACGAAAACCGAGCGTTTTTTCTCTTAACTTAAGAAAGCTAATTAAACAAATTAAAATACACGTTCAGTCAGTATTTGAGATCCCTTCCACTGGGTGGTTGTCCTTGGAAATTTGTATATACTTTGGTTTTCTATTTAATTAGGTTGATAAACCTTGTGCAAAGCGTTGTAAACCAGTCAGATCAAAGTCGATGTCTAATAAATTACCGAACCAGTTTTGCTTTACACGACTTGTCCNAAATCGTTCCACATGCAAGTTCTCCAAACAATGTGGCCGAGAATTTGGTTATCTGTGAAGAACATTTTGTATTTGGTGAGCAAATTGACTCGATCTTGAATATGAAATTACCAAACGAAAACCGAGCGTTTTTTCTCTTAACTTAAGAAAGCTAATTAAACAAATTAAAATGCACGTTCAGTCAGTATTTGAGATCCCTTCCACTGGGTGGTTGTCCTTGGAAATTTGTTTATACTTTGGTTTTCTATTTAATTAGGTTGATAAACCTTGTGCAAAGCGTTGTAAACCAGTCAGATCAAAGTCGATGTCTAATAAATTACCGAACCAGTTTTGCTTTACACGACTTGTCCC